ATGCTATTTTTTAGGTACAGATTACATATTGGTAGTTCTAGTAAATATTAAAGAGTAAATGTTAAAGAATATTTATCCCATAAATTATATAATATAATTGTAATTATACTAATACAAATATTTTTTAATTTTAGTATATATATTATTATATAATTAATTTAGTATATATAATAATTACATATGTGCTATTATTTAGATAAACAGTACACGTTGGTCTGGTATATATTAAAGAGTAAATGCAAAATAATATTTATCTCGTGAATTCGTATATTAAAAATTTTCGTTGACAATTCGTTTTCGGGCAACGTCTAGGTACTTTCTTTCTCTTAAGTGCAATAAGTACGGGGTTACATATTATTCATAAAATTACACTATTCGATTAGCCTGGTACACGAAGTAAGCGAATTTATGTAATACTCTTAATGGTAAATCACGTGCACAATTTTTGCAAAATTATGCTTTATCACTTTAGTAGTAGATAATAGATAAAATGACTGTAAAACGGTATCATTTCACGCTCGCACGATGCATAAAATCAGATCAAGGTTTGATATCCCTCTATGTAAATTATAACGAACTAGTAAGAATCAAATATTCCAATGCGTCATTATATATCGTGCATTTGGTATACGCGAATTTAACTTTCGTTCGCTATTTTCTGCCATTCCCATCTCGTATGCTATTTCCTATTCCCGTCATTATTTTTGCGCTAAGATCGATATGCGTCGACAGGAGTATAAAAATTAGTTATTAAATGGAGTCGACGAGTGTCTAAAAATATAAGGCTCCACCAAAAAAAATTGGGTTACAATTATTGGACTCGGACGAAATTAGTCGTCGATCAATCAGAGAATACTTCTACAAAATCTCTACACAGGTTAACTGTATTGACGAGAAGAAAAAGGGTGAGATTTAAATACCCCGAGGTGCAAGAGAGACGGATATTTCACTAATTATATTTTAAGTAAACTGAATTATTAAAAATTTATATTTTTAATATAGGAGAATTTTATTTTTTAATTTTAATTTTAATTTTACTGGAATATTACAATTTTCAATGTAATTTTAATATTTATATACTTCGGTATTTCGATATAGTATAAATATTTAAACATTTTAATGTAGTTTCGATATTTAAATATATAAATATTTCAATGCTTCAGAATTTTGGTATAATTCTAATTTTTAAATATTTCAATATTTCGATATTGTTTTGATATTTAAAATGTGTTATATGTAAAATATCGTCTGTTTTATAACAATGACCTGAAATCACAGTTTCTGCGATGTTTTAATTATATTATAATTTACATATAAAAAAAGCAAAATATTATTTAATACAATTTTTCTGCAGTTCTGCAGACTGCAAAATTCAATCACTTTAATTAAACAATTTTTCTCATTGTTTAATTCGAATCTCAATTATATCAATTGAACTGTAATTAATTCCGACATACGTAAATACATTTATCGTATTACGGATATATTCATTTAATTTACTCAAATATATTCAAACTCTTCGTTCCTAGCTACGCGATATTATCAAACAAAACGTCGCAATATATTTACATCCTATACAAATAACGACCTTGCTGAGACTTCTATATTCGGAATATATCGCGTATTTATTTGATCAATTGTAATACCCATTTAAAATAAATCCCCAGTAAAGGAAGAAACTGTGAAAAATCTAGCAGAAGATTAAATTAGTACTCTACAGAGTTGTCCTCGCGTTTCAACTTGACCGTGTACTTTCTCTTATATTTTAAAAATCCGATTGCTACGGAACGCTCTCCAGTGAGCACTTCCGATTTTCTCCCGAGCAAATTCTCTGGAAACGCGCGTTATCCCAAAAACCGAAAGTCAAACCCATGATCCCAATTTACTTGCCAATTAATCGATCAAAGACGCGCAACTTTCACGCAAACAGCAACAGACACACGAGGAAAAAAGGATTACCTGATCCGCTAATTATTCAGGCCCGCTGATGAACGTCGAGTGTCAATCCGATGCACACACGCGCAGCGTGCAGAGCGAAAAAAGGAAAAAGTGTGGAGAGAAAAACAAAAGGAAAGAAACGCAAAGGATGCGAAGCACGTGGCGACTGGGAGGTCGCGCAGAGAAATCTGATTCTTGGCTCGTTCAGACGGATCCTCTCAATGACATAGTACACTGGTAACAGTAGCAAGGCCGAGGCCGTCTGCCGCGGTTGAACACATCGGATTCTGGATCCAGCACGTCTGCACGAATAGTCATAGAAGAGAAAATAATTCCGCGGGCACGGGGTACACACGGGACCGAAACGGCGGAACAGGAACAGTTTGTTTCACCTGCGAGAGTAACCCGAGGTGCGTGGTACTGTGAGAACTTACAAAGAGAAGCGCGAAGTGTGCCGCGCGCTCGCTACCACCACCACCACTACTAATGAAAGCCACTTCCTTCGTCGCTAGCATCTGACGTTCTAGAACAGCCACCACTACAGCCTCGTCGTTTAGTAAATACGCGGTTAACACCATTGCGCCCTACTACTACCACTTTCGGAAAAACAATGAGTAACACACGAACGGTGTCATTCTGGCCCCTTCTCTTCTTTTCTCTTCCTCTCCGTTGCCCCTCCGCCCCCTCGACCCACGCCGGCACCTGGCCTCGCCCCCGGCCCCCGCTTCTACCTGGCTCCGAAAATTTTCCGGAAAACCGATCGCTGGGTATGTGGAATAATTCCGCTCTATTCGGTTGCTCATCGCGTGTCATATCCGTGCGCTCTGACGTCTAACGAAAGCTCCACCGGTCACGCTTTTTAACGGTTCGAGTCACCTACATTCCCAGCAGCGCCACACGCGCTTTCTTCTACTTCCTGCGTCGCGCCGCGCGCGTACCTGTGCGTCCGTTTCGAACAGCTCCGGATAGCTTCGATGGATTGTGGTGGGATTGAACGATTCGGTTTTTCAGCATGTTTGTTTTCATACTGCCAATTCACTTGGTCCCCAATTTTGTGACAGGAAGACTTTCGTTTAAATGCTGCGTTCATTTCTGTGCAGAGAAGTCATTGTCTTGTTAATTCTATTCCTTGGTCTTTAATCTATGATTTTTATTTATTTCGGTGGCTTTGGTTAGGTTATGGCTTGGAAGAGAGGTGATACGATTACATCTTGTTTTTGTTTATTTCTGAGTAGAGAAATGATTATCTCCCTGTTATTATTTTTCTTCTTTGGTCTTTAATTTTGGATTTTTGTTTATTTCGTTGAGTTTGGTTAGGTTATGGCTTGGGAGAGAGGTGATATGGTTCATTTCTGAGCAGAGAAATCATTGTCTTGATGTCGTTAATTTTATTCCTCGGTCTCTAATATCAGATATTTATTTATTTCGTTGGGTTTGGTTAGGTTATGACTTGGAAGGGAGGTGATATGGTTCGATCTTGTTTTATTTCTGAGAGAAATGATTGTCTTCCTGTTATTAATTTTCTTCCTCGGCCTCTAATCTCTGTTTTTTTATTCATTTTATTGATTTTGGTTAAGTTTTCATGAGTTTAGAAGAGAGATTAATTTCTGGGGAGTGAAATGATTGTCTTCCTGTTATTAATTTTCTTCTTCAGTCTCTAATCCCTGTTTTTATACTTTCTTGTTTCTGACTGGATTGTTACAGAATGGAAGAGAGGTTATATAGCGCAGTTTCTTTGTTTTTTTATTTCTTTGTGGAAAAGTGATAATTTTGTTACTGTTAATTGTATTTCTCTGATTTTTGATTGCTTCTATTCGTTTTATTTAAATCCTTATGAGTTGGAAAAGAGGTTAGGTTTTTCTATCTTGTTTTCGGTTAGGCTGTCATGGATTAGAGGAGATGTTATGTAATTTGGTATTATATTTTTATTTCCTCTTAGCAAAATTAATATCTTATTATCGTTAATTTTGTCGTACCGTACCTTTCTATTTTCTTGTCTTTGTTACGGATTGGAAAAGAGGTTATATAGTTTAATTTTGCTCCTGTATTCTTTCGCGCAAAAATTGCTATCTCGTTGTAGTATCAATATCCTTTTCCCTTTTCTTAACTCCCTCTTTTTTATCTTTTTACTTATTTTCTTATCTTCCTGTAGGTTATTATGGGTTGGAAAAAAGGTTATGTAGTTCAGTTTTATTTTTGCTCATGCACAACGTATCTTTGAGGCGTTGCTAGTTCATTTCTGTAAATGGAGGCACTTCTTCCGTCGAAATCCGATTTCACATCTTAGATTCTTGAATTCAAAATTTTTTACGCGCGTGTGGCCGTATATGCAAGAGGAAATCCGGCGTAAAATGAGAAACCTACTTTACGAAATATGAAAACAGAACGCGACTTACGAGAAATGGTCGTGCAAGTTTGCCTTAAATAACGTACGAATACGAGAGAGAAAGTAAGTGGAACGAAACAATCGATATTCCGTTCGAATTTTCGCACAAACGAAAGCATTTTTGACACGTATTGTAAATATAGAAAGTTCAGTGAAATCGAAGTGTTAATAAAGATGAGTTTATCCGAGTCAATGATTGAGTATCATGCAAACACTTTTGGTTTTATTGCTTCGTGTTAATTCTACCGCGAATTATTGCTTAATAATCTTATTATTCGAGTCAAATTTTGCGTCACAAAATTTATTATAAATTTATAACCTAAATTTACGTTATAAATTTGACTGATTTATTGACTGCTTATTTATTAGACTGCTTTCTAACATATTTCAACGTTTAATTTATGATATGCTATAAAATATATTTTTAAAATATTTAAAATACGTAAAGTATACAGTATCTGTATATATTTCATATAATTAAATAACTGAATTATATTAAAATTATTTTAATTTTGTTTATTTAAACGTATTATATAATATATTATTATTTACTTAGACACATTAAAATATAATTCAAATATCTTTTAGTTTCAATAAAATTTTGAACTATCAGTAGTATATTAGTATATCCACCATAACATTTAAATAAACATTAACATTTCACTGACATTATATTTGTAATCTGTAAAGAAAAAGAAGTTCGTACATATAGATACGTCATATAGATGTCAGAAACTATAGATTGAGAAAATTTGATCTTATTAAAGAATGATAAAAATAATTTCATCTCTCATAATTATAAAAATAAAAATAAAATTAATTTTCTATGTTTAATTAAAACAGTCTGCGTATTCCCAATATTATCAATAACGTTTATATCAAAATTCCAATATAATGTACTCTACAATGCATAAAAATAAATTTCCAATTTTCAAAAGAAACAATCTTTATCATCAAGTATCTCCACTTATATATATTTTTTCATAACATACATGATATTCGATTTTACCTTTGATCATTCGTATTCAATTTTACTTGCACGTAAATTCGTGAAAAGTGAAATGTGACAAGTGGAATGATCATCAAATTAACATCTTTACGTGAACACAACCAGTGAAAGTTATCCAAAATGTCCAAAATCCGTAGTCCCATTTCTTTTCCTTCCCACTCTAATCAACAACTCTTGAAATATTTAATTACATGCCTAAATAAAAATCAAATATACCTATATAAAATACAGTATGCAATTCAGCTATACAAAATGCTGCTACATAACCCTATAAGTATCGTATTCGTCACTCAACAGCAGTGAGCCAACATTGACAATGACCACGTACGGATAAAGTGAACATACTATACAGCATACGCACAGTATACAAAGTTTTCATTGAATCGTGTCATTAACAGCGAGTGTTAATCTAAAAATTGGCGGGCCAGTAGGAAGAGCAGCGTTACTTTCGAAGCAGCCCTTGTACACGTTTCAAGAGCTATCGAGACCAGTGTCCTACTAGCAGTGCTTACGGAGTAACAGATCATACTCTTGGATGGATCGTTGAACCCTGAAGTATGGAACACGTTTGAAAAAAATTCCAGTCAGAAGTGTGTCACAGCGGTGTATGATACTAGGCTTTGGGCGCCGAGGTGGGGGAAAATGGGGGTGACGGCAGGGGGCAGGAGTGGGGAGGCTGGAGAACTTCTCACGGTCGATGATCTACCTTGAGATGACCACGGGACCTCATTCTTAAAGGTCAGTGGATATTTTCAGCTTCTGATTTTAATATACTTAAAGTCCCGCATATTTTACTTAATCAACTACGATTTCAGAGCGTAACCAGTGTTCGGTTATTAAAGATCTGGTTTCCTAGGGGAAAACTTGGGGGAAATGGGTGCATAGAAATGGTCGGAATTGGAGGAACGCCTGTAAAGTTATGCTCGTGAGCGATTATTGAACGGAGTTGAATAAGAAGTTTTATTTTTGGGGTAGGAATAGGAATCGTAATGGCAGTTGTTTATAGTGATTGTTATAGTGATGCTTCTATCGAGGCTGTGAAGATTCATTATGAATGGAAGATTCGGAGTGAATGGAAAATGAGATCGTGGGTGCATGGACGTATGTATTAAATGTATGTATATGGGGTACAAAGATTTGCATTTTTGGAAAATAATAATATTTATATTTATATTATTAACATATTATATTACTATAAATAATACAAATATAAATTTTATGTTTATTATTTTATAGAAACACACTTATTAAAATATAAATATTTAATAGTGATTTCTATCATTTTTATGATATACTATCCAAGTTTCAAATTGAAATTATGGTTGTCAAATTAAATAAAATATCGAATGAAAATTAACTTATAACGTTAAATATGTATGTTTCTCTAGAAGATCGCGATCAGGTGATTTCTTTTATGCTAATGCAATTAGTTATACCTACTGTTTGATCTAATTACTGATATATAATTTTATAATTAGTAACGTTACATTATATGTACTGAAATGTGTGCTTTAGATTGAGATTTACACATTATTAAGATGGCAATTTCAGCAAAAATTTTGAAATAAAAATGTTCTCCAATCTCAAAAATATATAAAATTTTTAAATTCTTAATCAATAGATAAAGAAATTTATTAAATAGTATAAAAAACTTAAATGTGTTTACTGTAAGTCAATTAAGATTTACATGCACTTTCCCCTATTTTAAATAATCAATTCAATTTTGCTTCCCTTTACATTTTAATCCAGCATAAAATTTGTAATTCTCGTTATAAGTTATTTTTTTTGCGATATAAAATGTTATACAATATAAAATAAGAAAAGTAAAAGGAAAGTTACGAAAAATTTATGCATTTATTTCAGCAAATGCTACCATATGACAAATTAAAAAATATTAATCCACTGAATCGATTTCAAAAAATAAACTTGATTTTGAAACTTCCTCTACTTCTTCATCCACATATATTAGTACCACTTTATATCTCCTTCTATACCAAGAAATTTTTGTGAAAACTTTTTTTTGGTAGACTTCGTCTTTCACGAGATATCTCAATTTTTCAAATTAAGGGAAACACCCTATGTTTACTAAATTAAACATAAATATTTTCTTTATTAAATGTTAAATGTTAATATTGTTTATTAAATATTAGATCTTGAATAATTTATTAAACATTGAACGTCTTTTTAAAAATTAACGTGTTTCTCAAATAAATTATTTTAAAGATGATGTATTATTATAAAAATAAATATATTTTCTTTGCTAGCTGTAAAGGTATGTGTCCTTCAGAAGTGGAAGTAACCGAACAAACAAACTAATTATACTTTTTATACCTTTTTGAATTTCATTAGAATGCTGGTAAGGTAACAATCAGTGTCCAACGTCTTGAAAGAGAAATGACATATTTCTAGAGATTTATCTGTCACAACGAGATAACACGTGTAATTATAAACTCCAACAAATGATAAAACGTGACATTGTAACAGCACAGTTAACTAGTGTGGTCTTTGAATGGTTAAGTATCTCCTTGGGTAATAACATAGTAATTTTGTTCATTAAGTATATAGTAATATTAAATTAACTTGTTGGCAAGTTTGATTATTTATTGATTATTAAAAATAGTTGAATTTAATTTGCATGATACTGGGTATAATAATCGAGTAAGTACAAATTCATATGTTAATTTAACGTGAGTATGAAAATAAAATTTCTTTTCTTTTTAAATAATCCTATATATTAGGTGTCCGAAAATTCACGCGAGAAGTAATTTTGGTAGAAAACAAATTTTTAATTAAAAATTGAAAATATTGCTCAAGAATGAAATCACGTTTTTCCTATAGCGCTTCATTTTTAAAAACCCTGAACTGTCAGCTGCCACGTTGTCTTTTTTCTTTCGTTGGCAACACTTTATCGCGAATTAATTATTACAACAAATGTCACTAATTACTAATTATTACAACAATTATTAATAATTAGAACAATTATTCTGTTGATACTGTTATATATCAAGGATATTTTATATAATAATTAAATTCATAAATTATTACATATAGTTTATAAATATAAGTATCATATAATATATCCCTGATTCATAAATACAACGGATTGACCGAACTCTGCAAAAGCTACAATGAAATATCAGTTATCCTATTTATTATATTACTGTTCAGTAATGCTGTATTTAATTAAAAATTTAATTCGATTAAAAAGTTATTTATTATAATTACTACATCTTAAATACTTAATAATTAAAATATTGAAAAGATTAACTGAATATTATCAATCTCAGTTAGAAAATTATAAAAATTCGTAATTATTATATTATATGGTAAAATATATTCCATAATAACGTTAATGTAATATCATAAAACACGTTATTTTTCTATTTTTAAACGTTATAACCACACGTCTTTAATAATCTTTAATTCGACACTTACATTTCACCTTAGATCATTGTTTCCAAATTTTCGAATCCACGGTATATATTCCATTTCTCAAAATTTGAAACGCGAGAATTTTGAATACTATCACAGTAAGTATGCAACAAAATGATAGCAGTCTAGATTTTCAGTATGTCTTCAGACTATTGTAATGTATTCAGTTACGAGATTTTATATAAAATGTCTTTCCTTTAATAATGTAATAATCAATAATATAAGAAAAGACTAACAACAATTATATTTTCTTTCACGAATTTTATCCGCGTACGCGAAAAAACGAGTGATAAAATAATATAATACAGATATATTCGCGAGCTGAATTCGAATTTGGTTTTTAAAAGATAAATGAATAAAAAATTTCGATTTTTACTATCTTCATCAAAACATTGCAAAGATAGAAATTTTTTCAAACATTTTTGTTAACAGCATTGTATAACACTAACTTATTCTTGCAAATGTCAATTTGATGCGAGTCATTCATTAGCCAAAGCCATTAACAGCATTTCCTACACTTTCTAAATTTTAGTGTCACTTGATTATTGTGCCACATTTATATTTAATAATATTTTATATCATTCTTCTTAATTAATATTATTATGTTGAAGACAATATAAAACTAACATAAAAATAAAATTAATATTTTTATATTTCACGATAATTTTTCCCGAAAAAGACCTCTCTGAAGTTAGTCGAGAGACACTGGCCGTAGGGCGTGCCGCCATTTTGTCGCGTATCAATAGTTGCACTTCCTACAAACACTACTCGGCAAAAGTCAGCAATTTCAACACAAGCCCTATTCATCTTCACCAAATTGGAAAAGCAAAATGTCTGAAACCCACTGTTAGAACTGTCTCTTCAGTTTCAGTGTAAATTACCTTGTAAAGCACAGAGTCAAGAATATTTCTTGTAATATCGTATTTACACGTGTCAAAATTGATTATGATGTTTCACAATAACTACTCGAATGTAAGTACAAGTGACCACTGCTACATACGTTACACAATGTTTGGTCTGCATACCGATTCTTCACCATTTAAGCAAGTTTGAAACCTTGAGCAGGTACTCTTAGCCAATACTTTGGTGAAAGGACTATTTTCTCTATATAACGCGTTTCGGGCTGATCCGTACGGTTTTTAGCATGATGTCTTTGAAAGGAGTAGTAAACTCATACCTTTCTTCGTAGATCGTGTGTCGATGTAGCAGAAGAGAGCTACACATTGTCCTAAAGTTCGAACAGTAGATATTGACTGGAATATTTGGTGAAACGGTGAAAGTGGTGAATTATGTTTCGTTAATTTCGAGACAGATCATTGTGCAAATGATATTTTCAAAGGAGACTAAGCAATTTTGGATTGGATTAGGTTGACTGAGAAAGAAATAGAAGAATAATTGGTGTTTATGTAAGATTACACGTGTTGGTAATTATAAAAGTGGTTTCAGTCATGTACGCGTCTCATTTCTCGAAATCTAAGTAATTTTTAACTCGGCGAAATCAAAACATTAAATGTGAAATTAAATTTGATCAATGATTTTATCTTTTGATATTTTGGAAAAACGATTTTAGTTCGTCGTGAAGTAAATGGGTGTAATATGAAGAAATAGGGAATTCACTTCTTTTATTTGTGACTTATTGTCAGACCACTTTTATAATTATCGAAACATGCATAGTGTCGTAGGTTTGTGCATTCTGTAAAAAGTTCTAATAAAATTACAAAAAGTGAAAGAAAAGAAAATCTACAACACAGAATATCTTCAGGATATAACGGAAATACTTACAAGGAATTAATCGATTAGAAAAATCAGTGGCCAACCTAATAATTACATTCATATAATTCCATTTTTTATAAGTAATAATAATATATATGACGATACGAATAAAATATAAGTAACAATAACAATTACATTTCTTTTTAATAATCTTTTTTCAAACATCGATTATCATATCTCTTATAATAATCTTCGTATCTAAAAAGTGATTATAAACATTTAAAAATACGATAATATATAGAGTTGTGGGTTCAAGTAAATAGAAAACAGCATATGTAACGTTCTATAACACAACGAAATATTATTGTTACTTTTGAAAATGAAAAAATCATTAATCGAAAAATTTCTAGATAAGTCGAGACCTTTTTCTAACATAAGTATAATTAAAACTAATTAACAAACATCATAGCAATCCCTATTTCAATCATTTCATTCATTCCCTATCAGCCTAACATCGATACAAATGAACCTAACAAAATGTATCTCGCGACAAGTATAATAATTTTAAATATTCCAATTCAAACTAACTAATATTCAGAAAAATGAGAAATTGAAGAAATCAAGTGCGTGATAATTTTTACTATATGAAGATTCATGAAGCTGTAACGGATGAAATTTCCTGTAGACTGGTAACATGTCTAATTTCGAATCTTAGCAGTTTAATGATACTTATGAAAACCAGTCCCATTAAAAGCTTATAAAAATTATTGGGAATACTCGTTGAGCTCACAATGTGGTTTGAGATCGCATGCCTGGTAATTGTGCTGATGATAAAAATACTGCTCGACTATGGTCGACTCCAGAAATTTCCACCAGGTACCGTAGATTTAAGCTAATTACGAATGCGTGTAAATGGGAAAATTTTGAACGATTGTTATTTCTACTGTCGCTTAAGGTCCACGAGGTTTACCTTTCGTTGGAAATATGTTTGACATAGCGAAACTGGTAAAGGAAACGAAGTTTTATTCGAATGCTTGGTGCCGGTTAGCTGAGAGATATGGGCCTGTCGTTGGTCTCAGATTAGGTTTCGACGAACCGTTAATTATAGTCTCTGGGAAACCTGCGATCACAGAGATGTTGAATCGACCTGAATTCGATGGCAGACCGGATGGATTTATGTATAGATACAGAAGTGGTGGTATACGACAAGGAATATTGTTTACAGACACCGATGTCTGGCATAGTCAAAGAAGGTACGATGGGAAATAAAACTGACTCTTTCGTTTCGCAAATGAGAATTTTTATAAAGATAGTTTATAATTATATTGTGATTTAAATATTATGTGATTTATATATTATATTATTATTTATTATTATTATATTATTATTATTATTATTATTTATTTGTGATTTAAATATTAAATTTGGGAATTAATTTGTAAGATTTGAATCAATGTTTAGAGATTATTTTAAATATCTTTTATGTTTGGAAATACTTTTTAAAATTATTAAATATGGGTAGCAGTAAATGTGATCTTTTTATCAATTCAATTATTCTTTACTTTTTATAACTTTATAACTTTTTAATATGCGTGAAAATAGAATTTAGTGTTCCGAGATCTTTACAGTGTTTTCTTTTTTAATAGTATATTACACGTTTGAAAATGTTTATTAAAATTATTAATTTGAGACAGTGATAAATTTTTGTAATATTTTGTAGATTTGGAGATATTGTTTAAAATTATGAAATTTAAATAATAATACGTGTGAGTGTTAGTCTTTTTATACTTGTAGAATCATAATTTAATGATTTAAAAAAAAAACATTATACGCTATTATTTAAAATTATAGAATTTAGGTAATAATCCATATGAGTATTACGATTTTTTATTTCTTGTAAAAATTAAATTTTTGTAGTTAGAAATCTTCAAAGCGTTTTCTTCTTTTTTAATATTTCAAATGTTTAAAAAAGTTTGTAAAAAGTATTGTTTTGGTTTATTATTCCCGACAGATTTTCACTGAAAACTTTGAAGCAGTTTGGTTTTGGAAAAAGATCAACGGAACATATACTCCAAAACGATGCAATTACACTAACGAACGTAATTATGGAATTAACGAAAAACGGAGGAATTACGAACATTCGATCTATCATTTCAGCTGCTATTGTGAGCAATTTGTGGCTGCTCATTGATGGCACGAAGTACGCGATTGTTATAAAGAAAAAAGATATTATTTTTATTAACTTTGTTAACTTCCTTAATTTTATTATCTTTATTAACTTCGTTAATTTTACTAATTTTATTAATTTTATTAACTTCATTAATTTTATAAAGACATTTTTACTAAATTGTATTTCGAAATCCGCAGGTTTGACATTGGAACGGAAAATTCAAATCTAAACGAAGCGATACATATAGTGAAAGATCTTATCAGAAGTGGAAATGTTTCGGGTGGAATTTTAAATCAATTTCCTTTCCTGAGGCATCTATTCCCAAATTTAACAGGATTTTCAATCTTCGTAGAGAGACAGAAACGTGTAAATGGTTTCTTTAAAGTAAGTTGTAATGTCTAAACTTGCTTGGTTAATTTCTTTATCCTTGTAATATATTTATTGTTAATTTAAAATAATAATCAAGTACAAATATCTTCTATTTTAATACGATATTTCCAAAATAATTATAATTACTTTCTATATTTCATAATTATTTCTTCATTATACACAGGTCAATTTTGTCAAATCTAGAGTATCTCGGTCATTTTTAGAAATATAGACAAAATTTATTTACAATAGTCATACAATTCTTTAATAAACACAAAATTTTCAACGATCTCGGTTTAATTTAATTCAAAAAAAATGTTGAACTTAATTTTTTTAAGGATTTCATAATTTTATTCTTCAGAGATTAGAAGGTTTCATTTTCTTTTTTCCAAATGGTTCAAAGTTTTCAAACATTCTGTAATTTTAATTTTTTAAACATATCCTATTCTTTTTTTTTAATAGATATATCAAACCATATATTTACTCAATTTCTACGATCCACGACGCAATGTCATTGAATCTTAAATAAAGACATAATATAAAACAGTTAGTTTGACTTCGTAAGAGATGTTCATAACGGTGTTCATTTACATCAACCTAACAATGCAATTGTCGGAGTGCTGAAACCTGTACACCTCTTATCACTTCCGGGCTGATTGTAAAATACATTGTCATGATACTTTTGCTTCGTATCTCTTGGTCTTACTTTCCTATAATTCGTCGAATAACATGGTACCAACATCTCGTACACTACAATTAAAAAGACATGTAAATAGACTAAATAGAATTTTTAAAAGTTAATAGACGAAGATTTGACAGCCTCATTACGTGACTGACATAACATTGCTCGTTACCTTCAATTGTTGCTAAATTTTCGAAATACTTGGTACAAGGTCTGTCCTGATTCAAAATGTTACTAAATTTAATGCAGGGTTTGATTATCGAATTATGTTAACTCCTTGCACTCGAGAGGCACCTCTCTCAGTCGCCATTTAATCAGATTCTAAAGATGGATGTTAATTAATATATCAAATTTACAATTACCCAACGATGCGTGGAATGTCGAAGTAAAATAATTCTACGTCTTAATTTGTAATTTGTAACGAAAAAATAAAAATAAAATAACGCGGAGTGCAAAGGGTTAATGCAAGTTAATGTATATTAAAAGTAAAAGTATATCAAGTGTTGAAACAATGAAACAGCTTGGAGCAGAAAGTTATGGCAGCAAAATTTGACTTATTTCTGATGTAAATTTGATGCTAAGCTTTGGAGAGTTACAAAATTTGAATGAAAATTAATACACAGTGGTGATAAAGGTGGATAACGTTTCGTAGACAAATCTTGCAGAGATTTGGAATGAAATTGGTGCCATGTTGTATCCAAATTGTTTGCTGCACTAATATTCTGTACTGGGATAAGCTAACGACGCCAGCAGGTATGAATCATTGTCGTATGCAACACGTAATGTGTAAAAGATGCGAATCACTATAGCATAAGCAATCAGGAAGTGATAAAGTGTAACAACTTTAGTAAACCAATTGCAACGCTATGCTGATGTAAACAGATGCCATTTTGAGCAACTCTTGTGTCGCAAGATTCATTGGTTTCCTGCTTTAATAATCATTGAATGACATTGTGATATGAAGCAATAATTCAGATGTGTAAATCACTACGTTTTCATGATGTATTATGCTACATTACTTATTACGTTGTTTATTATTTTATTTTATTATTTATTACCTTTTTTATTATTTGTTATATTATTTATTATTTTTTAAAATTAATTATGGTGTTATAGTATTTTATTGGGGAAAAAAGTATAGTAAGCTATTTAAAAAAGCAGAGATGTCTTTGAAATTTTTGGAAATATTATATCTACAAAGAAATGATTATTGATGTTATGGCTTTCTCAATACTCCATAACTTTTATATATAAAATTTGTTTATATACCTAGAAACAACAGAGATATTCTAGATGAATTTTCTTTTTACTATTTACTTTCACAGGAAATAATATCAAGACATAAATGGAATAAAAGAAACGAAGAATGCTCAAATTTCATAGATGTCTATTTGCAAGAAATAGAAGCGCAGAAAACAAATTCCTCTTCTTTTTTCAATGGTAATCATTTCATCTGAATTATCCTTTTAAATTTTGTTATTGGTTATAGTGAGTATAGAATTCTAATAAAATTATTTCAAAATCATTCCAAGTTTCATAATCATAATGGTAACAATATTGAAATAACAAAAGACTTTTACAAATATCATAACTTTACGATATCATAAACATTGTTTAACGATATTTGTGATATTTTAAAAAATGAGTTTCTAACTTATTTTTACTAAAAGATCATACTATTAAAATTATTTAAACAATGACTCTAATTTAAATTCTATCAGCAATTCATCTTTCTTCATTAAAAATGTTATATTGGTCTTACGAGTATCCAGAATTTAATATAGTATTTCATACTATAGTAATTCTTATACATTTTAATATCATAATATTATAATATACTTAATCTCTTAATATCACAAAATTATAACATTAAATTATTCTAATATTATAATAAAAAATTTAGCTAAACACTATAGTATATTATATCTATATTATTACATAATGAATACCAAAATTCATAAAGGACTCGATAAATAAATATATTAGCTTAACTTCGAAACGAAATCCTTTTAATTGCAAGTTCAGATCACGAATGATATAATATATAATTCCGGAAACTATCTAAAGTTTTATAGTAATTATATAGAGATTCGTATAATCTGATAACTGCAAGATCAGTTCCAGCATTCAAACATTTTAAAATGGATACAAAACCGTCCAAAGTTCGATACTAGCCCTCCTTGAACCGGTTATTCACTTGCCCATACTTGCTGGATTTAGGTCAATTCGCCATCCAAGGTATTTCACGTTTCATTCACATAATTTTCATCGATTCTGTTAGATATTTTCAATTATTAAGAACTTGTCAAATCGATGCATCGGGATCACTAATAGAGAATAAACGATTAAAAATCACTCATAATTATCCATTACCGAGCTGATTAGAAACTGAAAGAAAGCTGAAAAACTGCTTTTTAGGAATTATGCAAATTTAAAATAAAGAATTTCGTCGAAAATTTTCAAATAAAGAATTATATTTTATTAATATTTTAATTGAAAATAATTCAATAAAAATATGCCATTTAGTTTATAAAATGATATAGGAAATATTAATAAAATTCAAGAGTACATACAGAAGCATATGCATAAAGTACATTTGTATAAATTGCATGTATCCAATTTGTATATCAATTAAATAAAAACATTGATTTTAAAAATTATATGGAAAATATGGATAAAATTCGGAAGTATATTTTTAAATATTTCTAAATATTTTTAATATTTTCATTTTATCGTGGATAATTTGAACATTTGTTTCATTGTAGAAGATCAACTACTATATCTGGTAAAGGACTTATTTTCTGCTGGCGTTGACACTACTGACAATGTTATTGGTTTTGTAATAGCATTCCTCGTGGTTCACCAAGATGTACAGGATAAAGTGTACGCTGAAATTTGTAGAGTAATAGGCAAGGATGATTACCCTACCCTCGATGATAAAGACCGGTAAGAGGTGCCTGATCATTGTAATCGTACTTTGTAAAGTATTTTAGACGACAAGCCCGTATAAGGGATCATCTACGTATAATCAGAGCAACAAAATCTTTTGCACTGTATAGTTAATACAATATATATTTTCGTTCCTTCGTTTTCTTCCACTAATTTGTTTATCTATATTATAGTATGTGTGCTATGACTTTGACTATTATTGAGTTATTAATAAGAAATGTTCATTCATCAATTAAACACGAATATATTATTTAAATTATATCTTATGTTTATCTTTTATATTTTTAAAATATTTCTAAATAATAAGTATAATATTTAATACTTCTTTATGAAAATGTTTAAAACGTGGGTCGGATAATAATTTTTAATTATATTACTATATTGTAGTAACAGTAATACAATAATTCTATAATAGTATATAGTAAATAGTAATAGCACTAGTGCTATAATAACAGCACCATAATATTAATAATGAGGTAAAATTGGAGAAATAATATAGTAATATAGTATAGCATAGTATGCTATAGTATGCTACAGCATAGAATGCTAACAGATAAAAAGAAGTATAGTATAGAATGCTAGTACTATAGTACTAAAACCATAGTAATATTACATGTAATTTTAGTTTATCATTATTATTCTACTTAATTATTATACTTTATTATTATATTATTGCGATATTTAATAATATTATATCATTTAACATTATTTAATAATAATACTATTTCTGTAACGTTATTAATGTTATAATTAATAATATTATAATATTATTACCAATAATTATAGTATTATCAACTAATATAATCATATAACAATATTTTTATATTTACTATAAACATTTACAGATTACCATATTTAAAAGCAGTTGTGATAGAGGTATTAAGATTAGCAAACGTTGGCCCGACTTCTATCCCACATAGAGCAATAACGGATTCTAACTTACTAGGTTATGAAATAAAAAAGAATTATACCTTATTAGCTAATTTTAAGAGTGTTCACATGGACAAAGAGCATTGGGGAGATCCGGAAGTATTTCGACCGGAAAGGTTTATCGACGAAAAGGGAGAATTTATCAACGATTCTTGGATTTTATCTTTTGGATTAGGTAACGAAAAATGGCATTAATATCTAAATAGAAACTTAACTGATAATATCTCAGAGTACCATAATAACATATCATTTATAATATTATATATTATATATTATATATTATAATATATATATAGTATTATTTATAATATTGTAATATAATAGATATATAACAATAATATTTCTTATAGAAAAGGAATTTTTTTTTAATTAAAATAAAATGCAAAATTTTCGAGTAAAAATTGTACTACTCAAGGAAATATAATAAGTTGAACAGGAGTTCTTTTTCCATACAAATCCTCACTAATTCGTGTAGAATATAAATCAAGAGATAACTAACTAGGCTTAATAATAATCAAAAATTTAATTCTTTTCTTTGTAGCATATTATTTATTCTTGCAGGTCGTAGAAAATGTTTAGGTGAAACTTTAGCAAAAAATACAATTTTTCTTTTTATGGCGTGCTTGTTACAAAAGCTTCGTTTTATGTTGCCATCAAATCACCCTACACCTTGCCTTCAAGGTGTTGATGGTTTTATTGTTGGACCACCTATGATGGACATTATTGTTGTTCGAAGATACTGATTAATATAATGATAGAAATGCACTGGAAATTTCAATTTTCTAAACAAAAATTCAGCTGATCGTGAATTTAATTTTGTCATAGTTAAAGTTACTTCTCTATCAAAATTTAGTTAAAATTTTTAATATTAAAATATCCCTAGCCTGAAAATGATATATAACGTATCTTGTATTAATTTTAATGCGAAATAATATAAACAATTACTATAATTTTATTTACAGATATAAAATTTGTATTTAAAAAATTGTATATTTAGGAGAGTTCGTTTTATTAAAAAACTAAGAACAGGATCGAATATTTTATGTGAAATCCAAAATACTCATCTTATTAAATTTTACACAACTAATGCTACGATAAGTGAAAAAATGTGATTATTAACATTTTTTAAATATATGTGTAAATATGTACAAGGACTAATTCTTAAATTGTTTTTAGTTAATATTAGAAAAATATACTTACTGAAACATTCATTTGAAATATAATTTTGAGCTATGGTTTATAATATTTTTAAAACTTATTTTCTTAAATAAAAATTTGTTAAATTGTTACAATACATGGCGGTAAACATTTTTATATTATCATTATTTTCAAGATTAATTTAAACTTAGTTTATGTCGTGCTGTTCTAGCTTTCTGATCAGCGATTAATACAATGGTATAAATTACTGAATAAAATGATTATTGTAGAATAGCATTAATGTTTTGAATTTAATGCTAAAGAAATCAAAATAGTTCTTCTGTTTTATGAAAGATGGTGTTAAGAGTCAGAGTATTGTGGCATGCTTGTTGCAAGATGTTATTTATAGAAGGAATCTTTTATACCGATAATTTTTTATATATAGGTAACAAAGTTCAAATATAGAGATACATAATTTTGATTTCTACAAGTACACTATATTTTTTCATTTAATGGATACCGACAAACACAAATTTTTACAATTTACGTTTAACATTTATGTTTATTAATTAATACAACTTAAATTGTTACACATATCATTACTGATTATTAGTATACATTACAGTCAGCTCTACAAATACTGGTTAGTAATATAAATGATAGAAAAAATCTAGATATATCAAATAACATGAAATATATTCGTTCGGGAAGATGAGATACATAGCTGGTTTTCTCAATTTTCCCTTGCAAATTTTCCAAAGAGAAATGTACATTTCAGCGGGACATGTGAATGTTTTGTTATTATTTGTGTATAAATAAGTGTAATTTGAATATCAAAGAGACCTACATGAAAATTGAATACGCACAACTTAACAAAGAAATAGACTTTAGTATGTTTTAAACAGAAATATTCCGAAAAATCACGTTAATCACGTTAATCACGTTGACTGTAATAACTACTGATTGGTATATTTTATATTCAAACTGTCAGTCATTAATAAATTATAACTAAGAGTGATGTGTCGATGTAAAATAATGCATAGAAAAATCTGTGATGTAATGATGACGAAACGTACAATACTGAACTGCTGAGTCCATGTGACGACGCCTTTCTTCTGTTATATTGTGATTGGTGGGCTGAAACATGTATTATAAAGCACCAAAAATATGATATACTGTAGGAAATAGAAAAACAGCAACAATTTATGATTTCAAATTTTCTTCTGTTGATGTATCAATAGTACTATACATAGTTATACTAAAACCAAGTTCTCTTGATAGTAAGATTATTAAAGGTTGTTTCTTAGTGTTAAAATTGAATGTATTTTGTATGCTGTTCATTGTGAAGATGTCACCACTAGAAATATTTATTTATTATGTTAAGCAAGTTTCCTTTCTATTTGAGATACTAATTTATACATGGCATACTAGAGAATTCGAATTTACAACAAATAGAGAAACAGTTATATGTTTTTATGTTAAGTGTAATAAAAAAATAATAAAAAACATTGTTAATTTTGTATGATAACATATATCAATTGGACAAGATGTTATTAATATAAAAAAGAAAACTTGCTTGTACAGGTATTGTAATATTTATTTAAACAAAACATCTTTGGTTAAATACATTTAAAAAAATTGTCAATGGTTCTATTATATATATTAAATTTTAACAATTTATTGTGTATTTAAATTAATTTAATTTTATAACACATATTATTAGATGATTTGGTTTAGATTATGTTATATAGTTTTAAATATTATCAAAGTTCAAGTTTCAAAACATTTATTATATATTAGGTTTCAGTGCTCTTCAATATGGCAAAAAATTCATCAAATTCAATTGTTTTAAACTACTACGACTGTTTACTAAGAACTAGCGATGTTGCATTGCTTCAAGGATCACATTGGTTGAATGATGTTATAATAGGATTTTACTTTGAATATTTGGATGCAACATGGAATAAAAATGAGGAAAAAGAATTATATTTTGTCAGTCCGGAATGTACACAATTGTTAAAAATGACAGATCCATCTCAATATAGTATATTTTTAGATTCTATGAACATACCAAAATATAAATGTATATTTTTTCCTTTGAATAATTGTGATAAGAAAGATGCAGCAGGGGGTTCACATTGGAGCCTATTAGTATTTTGCAAACAAGATAAAACATGTTATCATTTTGATTCATCAAAAGGTTATAATAGTAATATTGCTTCAAAGTTTGCAGAGAACATAATGAATTGGATACTAGATAAGAATGAACCTAATAAGAAGTTTGTTGACATAGATAGTCCACAGCAAGACAATGGTTATGATTGTGGAGTTTACGTTTTATGTTTCGCAGATGTAATTACAAAATACGTTATGAAAACTGGTAAGGTAGATGGATGTGATTATAGTCAAGTTAAAAAATCAACATATACAAAACGAACAGAATTACTGAACTTAATAAATGACCTTAAACCAAAGTCAAATAGTACTAAATGATATATATAATGTAAACATATAACTATTATATGTGATTCTTTTTGTACAAACATGTTACAAATATAATTGTTATTTAATGTTATCAAATGTATATTCACAATCGTTTACTATATTTATGTATGTAAATATAAAATATTTCTATGTTATGTATCAATAATTATAAATACAAATTGTATATTTTTGAATATATATAGCATTTAATATAATATAAAATTTATGTATATAACGATGATAATAGTAATAACAAAATATGATTCTGAATATTGCTTTTAATATTGTATTTTGCAATATATAATCACTTTCGTTATAAGCAAATTTGTAATTCTTAATTTTTTTTTCTTAAAGAAATTAGAAAATGTTAAATAATCGAAAATTATTTCGTGATTTGCAACAATAATTTTCGATATACATATTATTTAAGTTGTAACTACGAAAAAGATACATAACATACTTTTGAACATACTGTTTTAAGTTAAAATTGTTTTTTATTCCTGTATGTTTCATATCTACAGACAATTCACATGATAAAATGTTTTTATTTTAATCTGTTGACATACTTTCATTCATTTGAAAAGAATAAGACTTTTATGAATTAATAGACAAACTTAAATATTTTATACCAATTTTTAATATTTTAATATTTCAATTATTGAAAATTTAAACTTTAATTATATTTAAATTAATGTTCGTGAGTAGTATTTATTTCTAATTAAAATTTAATCCTTGTATAAGTATGTCGAAGTATTTTACGCTAATTTTCTATAATTATACTTTGTTGGACATATTTTTCTATAATACTTGTACTAATAATGTTATTGAAAAGTGAGATATTTAAATCTGTATGAAACAAATTTAATTCTGAAAATATCAAAAATGAAAAAGAAATTTTAAAAGACAAATTTAAATTAGAGTTATGTAGATCATTGTTTTAAATGTAATCATATTCGTATATCCAAAAATATACTTATTTTATAAGTTAAAAAAAAAGAATTTAAGCTACTTATTAGAAATTAATTTTGAAATATATGAAAATAAAAATTATATGTTTACTTGTGATTTATTAGTCGAAATTATTTAATTTTTCCTTGTAATATTTTCTACCGTTTTCAATATATATTTCTATTTGTTGTCAAATTCATTTAAATTACATTCATAACATTAAAAATGTATTAATATATATTATATTTCGCACTATTATTTCTAATTTATTACCATATTTCGATTAACTTATATTTCATTATCAGTTTAATTTAAAAATTTATTATAGTTTTGATTGTACAAAGAAAAAAGTGTAATTTAAGGGGAACGTTTTCTAAATCTAAAATAATTTTAAGTTTTACAAGAATTATATAAAACATGTTAGAAAATTACATTTTGTTTAAGATTAAGAAATTTTGCACTATTTAAATATTGCTCTTATTTATTTTTAGTTACACTGTTAAGTTTACACAAACGTTATTACAAAATAAAATATTGATTTTACACTAATTGAGTAGATAATTTGAAAAAACAAATATTGCTGTTCGAAACAAGTTCGAAATAGAATTTTATGTCTTATTGTTATATTTCCATGTTCTAAAAAACTTTAGAAGTATAAAATTGATGTTTCTGCCGGATCTTGAAACGTATATTTACTTAAATATATGTGTATATAGTTACGGATTGGTCCATTTGAAATACCTCTTGGGATAATTCAAGTCGTATGATAACAATAACAATAACATTGTCAGAAATTTTTTGCTCGTTCATCGAATACTATCTTATAGAATATTATCATATAACATTTTTTATACAAAATGTACACTTTATCGTTACTACCATACGATCATATCACGTGTTCGAAACGTTACTATGTTATCGACTCATGGTGATAATTGTTTTAGAATATAATGACTAACTGGTTGAGTGTCCAAATGATAAGTAGTAGGCATTTCAAGCATAAACTGGAGGTTTTGTTTACAGTTCTATATATATTCAGCGAAAGGATAACAGTAAATATTATACATAAATGTTGCAATATTCTTAGTAATATTAAACCAACTGTACAATAAAATCCAGTTGTGTTACATTTAAATCCGACAAATAGTAATACGCATTTTAAAGGAAATATTAAGAACAGCAACTTCCTGTGACGAATCAATAAATTAAATAGGACATTAAATTGATAAGTATCACTGCGTATTATCGACACACTGTTATCGACATTGTTCATGCAAATAAATTTCTGGTATAACATAACATTCTATCGCAAACAATAAATTTATGCTTAGTGATCTAATCATAGAATATACATAACGTAGAAAATATTTGGCTCTGATGCAGTCATTGAATAGTGTAAGGTCTGCGATGCACAATCTTAAGCTGAGAAATGTTGCCAAACGATAATCTCAGTTACCATCGAGCACGAGTCAATGTGTTTTCGAGGTGTAATATACACCTTGAATCGTAGTGTAGTTACGTCAGTTTATCTCTTCGTACTTCGAACAGGCGGACAGTATATCGAAGATTATCCAACTTTATTCGATTTTTATGCATTTCTTTTTACGTAAACAAGGAATATTTTTCAAACCGCAGAGACGTGTAACGGACCAGTTTAGACATTGAACGTGCTAGTGTAGTGCTGAGTTTCAAAAATAAGAATTTATTAATGGAGCAAGTTTGACAGTGAAATGTAATTTTTCTGTATTTCTATGTTTCGTATTGTTCATGAATCTTTTTAACAACGCTTTCAATTGTGTATAATAAATTGAACAAATTAAATACAATATAATTTCTTAAATTAATATGCTATTATAAAGCTATAGTATAAATTTGTGATATAAAATAAATATAAATAAATGTGATTGGAAATATTAAAGTGGAAAAATATATATGTATATACATGGTGTAATTAAAATAAAAAATAAGAAATTTTTAACAATCAGCATGTGAAACATGTAATAAATAATAAAAGAATTTAACAATTGCAGATAGTATGTATCTAAAACGACATGTATGTTTAATAATAATTATGTTATAATATTAATGGAGCAGAACTTTTTAATGATTTTAGATACTGGTTCATGTTTTTACAGAATTAAGATAAAGACGATTCATGCATAATTTATTGCATAAATTTTTCGAAATTCAGTTAATGACGTGTAATCATGACTATTAAACAAAACACATCATTTACTGGCGACAATGAAAAGGAGACGAAAGAACAAACGAAAAATGTAAATAGCACCAGTGAAAATTTTGATCCACCTGATGGTGGCTGGGGTTGGATTATAGTGATGGCAGCTGGATTTTCTAATGTAAGTTAACATCAATAAATTTCGCTGTGATATGTATTGTGACTTCTTTCTGATAAAATGTGAAATTAGTATCTGAATATTTTATCAAAGGTAGTTTTAAATAATTCAAAAAATTCTCCTTTTACTTAAAACTTGTTTTTACTACTATGATGACACACATTGAATTTATCAATAATTATTTATCTGGAGATTAATTGTTTAAACTTCGTTTCTGTTTATTCGTTATAATCTTATATTATAGTAATTACTTATTCCAATAATTTGTATTTTTATATAATTTGACTCTTATTAAGGTCGAGAATATTTTTCATTTTATTTTACAATTTAGAGTTAATTACGTTTTAAGTATTCGAAGTTTAATTATTGAATTTAAAGTACGTTTAATACAAAGAGACATTTTAAATGAAAATTTAATGGAAAATTTTCTTGTACGAACTAAAAATAAATTCAACTATGTGTGCAATTCTTGCAGTTTTGTATATTACCAATGTTGCAAAGTTTCGGATTAATATTTAGAGATAGATTCGCGGAACTTGGTATCAATTCAACCCAAACAACGACAATATTAAATATAAATTGTGCTGTAACTTCTTGCATCGGTAAGTTGTTCTCCAATATATATTTTCGTCTTATATATTAATAATATAATTGGAATATGTTTCGATAATTGTATATATATATATATATTAATAATATCTTATATATTAATAATATAATAGAATATATATGTTGAATATATATATTAATATTTGTCATTAATATTCTATTATGGTTTATTAAAGTTTATTATATAAAGTTATGTATATTATTACGATATATAAACTATTTAAATTTTATAGTATATAAAGTCTGTTATAGTTTATGTAAGTCAATGTACATACTAAGTTTTTAGAGCACCATAATTAATATTATAAAATTGTTTCTAATACATCTTGACACGAATTATCGTTTCGTCAAAGATAACGAAATGAAAGATTCAACTATCAGCTGACGAAATAGGAGGTCATATGTCGATAAAGAGGAACACGCATTTATCTTAACTCTAATCAGAGATCTCCTAGTTTCTTTCTTATCTTACGAAGAACCTTCAGATACTGTCATTATTTATTGTTTCACAATATGAACAGTAATTGTGTTACGACAGAATAGCATATATTTTTATTTAAGTTAATGAAATGCAACGATTCTTCTTGCTTCACTATCCTAGTCAGAGATGTTGAATAGAATTTAAACTAGGAACTAGATAGTCAGATATATATCTATTTTCCAAGTAGCGTATTCGACGAAAGTCATGAGACAAAAATTTCATTTACACGTTACGTTTAGCAAAATAAATTTACCTCGGTATATGGTTATAAGTATAACTTAATACTATATATATAAATTATATAGTTATAGATAATATATGTACATGTATAACTACAAATGTTACATGTCTTACTATAAATGTAACATATATTAATATAGTTATAAATCATATAATTATAAAATTTATATACATACATAACTATAAATATAAATTATATTTTTATAAAATATGTATCACTGTAAATATTATTTATAACACTATATAATATAACTTATATAGTAATAAAATATGTTACATATAGTACTATAAATATATATTATATAGCTACGAATTACTAATTATCATTATTATTTTATTACATTTATAACTATTATTTTAATTATTATATTTATATGTTATATATTATAATTACAATAATTATGTTAATTATGATTAATTAACTTATTATTTTATTACTTTTGTAACTAGTTTATTACTTTTTATTGCTCCTTTACCTCGTATATTTATAATTATGAAAGCAACGAAACTGGGTAATTTATCAAAACTGTGTTAATAAAGTTACTTTTTGTTATAGGTTTAGCTAATGGACCACTGTTTAGAAAATTCAGCTACAGGCAGATAGCTTTCGTAGGCAGCATGATATGCGCCATATCAATCACGATATTATCAATGACGAAAAGTTTTACGGGAGCTATAATTTTTTTCTCGATCTTATATGGTGGGTTGATGGTAATATAAGATTAACAGAAATAAACGAAAATGAAACGAGAAACGCAAGAAACGACGTGATCGAGTACTCATTGCACGAATCTAGATCATAATCTTTATTTATAAGTTGACGCTAAAAGAGAAATCTTGGAGCATAGTTAACGTTTCAGTTTCCGATTTTAGGTGTTGGTGTTGGTATAACGATGTCGTCAAATGCTCTAGCTCTGAATACTTATTTCAAACGAAAGAGAAGAATCGCTACTGGCCTTAGCTGGACCTGCACAGGCATGGGACCAATCGTGATGCCACAAGTAATTACAGTTCATACAAAATAATTAGCGAATTATAACTTTCAAATACGCGATGTAAGAAGATGAATTAATAATATTCAAAAATTCGCAAGAAACTTTTATTTATTTGTAGAAAAATTTAGGTAGAAATTTTATGAAAATAAGTGTCATTTTAAACGTGTTTCAGATTACATTATAAAATATCCCAATGAAATGTTTTTCTCTGTTTTAATATGGAATTCAAAAATATCTCATTTCTTCTGAAAGTAACTTCCGGTAAACCGTTGTTGCGTTGTTGTTGAACTTCTTCGAATGTTTTAACAAAACATGAATAATCAATAAGGCTATAGAGTAACGTTTAAGTAATTCAAGGTGAAAAACTTGTATATGCGACTGCTCCATTAGTCACCACTCATAAATGCATGGAATTGTTCTTCGTGTTCTCGGTTAACGAGATGTCAAACACTGTTGCGTGTCGTTTTTCTTTGCCACAATACAATTTCTGAGCTTATTTTGAGAACTTGAGACATTATATGTGATCAACATGTGAGAGTACTTAAAGAAAGAATTTTGTTTCCGACAATTTTCATATTCGAATACGATATCTATTTAATTTTTAGTGAAGTATCGAATTTGCTTTTATTTTAAGCTAAATAAATATTCTTTTAATTCATTCCTTTTTTAAAAAAAAGGAGATAAAAATGACAAAAAAGAGTAAGGGGAGAGAGAACAAATTTAATATGAAATTATGTTTAAAGGAAGGAACAGCTTTTAACTATGAGATTGGTAAATTTTCGAAACATTAAAATCGTAATTATATTAATTTCTAGATAATTACATTGCTAATACCAGTGTATGGCATGGAAGGTACTGTTCTCATTTTTGGTGGTTTTGCATTTAACGCTGTAGTTTGTGCTCTTTTACTGCAACCTGTTTCCTGGCATATAAAGAAAGGACGAGACACAGAAAAATTAACCAATACCATAAACTCCGAGGAATTTGTAATAGCCGATAAGGTACGACACGATATTAAATAATTTATTAATTTAAGTTATAAATTTACCATACCAGATAATTCGAATGATGCTTATTCCTAGAAATAGCCTTATTACCGCATCTCCTGTATTTCATTTAATTATTTTCACAATATCAGCATATCCTATTCATGAATCGAGATTTAAGTAAGAGGAAAAAAAAATAGTAAAACATAGGATTTTATGTCATAAATATTAATGACTTAATTATTATCAAGACGTAATATCTTTGCAGATAGCAACGGAAGTGATACAAAAAAATTATGAAAACAATTTTCAAAATAGATCATCAGAAGATATTGAAAATATACAAAGTAATTATGGTACCCTGAGCCTGGCAAAAGGAAAATTTGGCAGCCAGTATTTGTATTACGATGACGAAGAAGATGGTGCTTCCGGTATAGACGTATTGGGCCCTGGAACACCGATGATGTCCCGAGCTAATGATGGATGGTATGTGTAACCAGGTTTCAAAATAATCGTACAATAGATATTGAAATACACGAAGTACACGAGTACTTCGTTGTATCTTTATGGAAAGACATAAAATAGAAGGAGAAAGATTAAGCTGACGAGTTACCCAACGAGAATTATTTATGCATCTACTTATTACATAATTTCTTTTCAAATAGCACGTTGTAATTGGAAATTCAGTATATTTGCAATTTAGATTTAAGGTATAACATCGGTATTATCTTAACGATATCACATATAAAGTAATGGTATAAAAAGATTGATTTACTGTAGGAAAACGATGCAGCACCGATATGCTATATACGAATACATATTTCAGAAAATTTTGTCTTAGAAACGTGTTAAAGTTTATTTGCGACAGCACAAGTCATTTAATTTTTATTCTCGTAAAATTTCTGTGTTTTGCAATGGAATCACATAAATTTCATTCGTTTCGGGAAGCTAAATTTTACGACTTTTCTTAAATTTATGCTTTAACTTAAAATTTCCTTGAAAGTAATTTACACAAACTCCTTTTTCTCGTATTTCTTCTGAAAAGTTAAATTATAATAAATGGCACATACTTTTTAATCATAAATTAATCATACGTTAGATAAATTAGATAAATTGTTTCATATTTGCAATTATTTAATACAAGTAGAAAGTAAAATAATATTTCATTTATATGTTTATATATTTTTCAGCTTTTATAGATTATGGTATAGGATTATTATATAAAATCTTATATAATATATAAATAATATATATTACTATATTAGTTATATTATTATATCTATAATGCAAAGTTATAAAATATAAAATTTAATAAACTTAATAGAATTTAAGATATGCTCTCACTTTGGTGATAATTATAATAAGTTTAGAAGATAAAAATGTGAAATAGGTTTTCTAAACGGAACACTTCGACTACATCGATAGCGTCTAGATCATCAAAGAAGGACTGCTCTTCGAGAACTCCAAGCAGAAGAACATCAGTGAATTTAAGTAGGCAATCCAGTATCAGTAGAGGACCGTCGGTAAGAAATCTTAATAGGTAAATATTTGTATAATAACAAGTAATAATAATACTAAGAATAATAACAATAGAGAATTTAATAAATTACTATTAAAATTCTATACGACTATACAGTATGTCCAATTTAAATTGACACAGCGGAAAATCCCATAGATAGGTGATTTCAGAAAAATATGGTGACTAATGTGGTAAAAGGGGTAAATAATATTCGATAAATACATCTATTCTTAGTTATATTTTAAATTATTTGGTGGTGTAAAATAAAAGGGGGCTCGAGGCTTTCTGTGATGTGTGATGGTGAACTGCAGAACAGTGTCATCCTTTGAACCCGCCAGCAAGGTTCCCATACCGCTTCATGAGACTAGTCTATTGTATCAGTCAGCCTAACTTCGAGGAACTATCCAGCTTATCAATTTTCTTCGAAACAAAATAGATCTCGATGCAGGGTGACGCCATCGAAAATAAAGATTCCTCTCACTAGTATTTTTCAGTATTTCAGTTCATTTTTATTATCGTAAGGGAATGAAAGGAGATAGCTGGGTAAAATAACTACTTCTCAGTGGCCAATTCTACTTTACTCCGTTCGATACAATATTCTTCCGTTTCTAATACACATCACTCTTGTTTCGGATCTCATACTACCCTCGTTCGCTCCTGAATCTGTCCTTTTCACGGTGGTTCCTCTTTGTTAACCCCTTGCCCTACAATTTAAAATTCAACAGCGTGGTCCCAAAACGTAAACAGAACATTCCACGGTTCACCAAATCTGTTTTAATGTGGAGTGTCGTACCTATTAGAAAAATATAATTCGGGAAAAGTTAATTTAATAAATTACAAAAATATAAGCGAGAAATTAAAAACAAACAAATGATTCAAACTAAATGATATATTAAATTAAACAACAAACAATAAAGGTTAATAATCGTAGTGGGGCACATCAACAAACCATGGGCGTGACACATGGTGTACATTTGGGCTGGTCGACGTACCACGAGCCAGGCCCGTGATAATCAGTTTTGGCTCGAAGACCTGACCACGAGCCTCACACGTGGTTGTAGGCCAAAGGGTTAATTCACCGCGAAAATCAAGCGGATTGACGCTTCCTTTTGAGACTTCAGTTATCGTTGCTTTGTACTCAACACTCACGTCACCTTATCGGTCATAGGAGCTCGTTTTTCGATTTTGCTCTTTCGTTGTTTTTTCTATTTGATTTTTCACGTAAGATCACCCTCTTCCCGATTCTACTACCTACTAGCGCTAGGATACCCTGTACAATTGTATTGATATAAAAATATTCGAGAATTATTTATAATTATTTACAGACAGAACAGTGAAACTGAAAAGAGCCGGAAAAGGCTTTCGAGTTATCAACCATCCACGGTCCCATTGATTATCGTTAACGAATCTTGCGAACATGCCGAAGACTTTGAACTTTGCAAAGATCCGAACTGTAATCACAAATCGCAACATAAATCGGTAATACCGGAAGAAGTCGAAACCTACCAATTACTAGAAGAAGTAAGTTTAACTCCGACAGTATAAGAAAAAGAAAAATCATTTTGCTTACACGAAATTTTAAAAAAAAGAATAAATAAGCCCAAAAATAAAAAAGAATAGAAAAGCAAAAAAAAAAAAGAAAAATGTAATTAATCGTGCATCAATTTCAGGAATGTGTCAAGGAGACAACGAAGAAGACCTTTCTTGAAGCGTTGATCATTTTCTTCGATCTAGATCTGCTTCGAGATCTCGTCTATGTGAATATGATGTTGGGTATTACCTTTGCCAATTTTTCGGAATTAAATTTTTCCCTTTTGACACCGTTTATATTAAGCGAATATGGATTCACGAAAATTCAAGTCGCAACCGTGATGTCGATTCTTGCCGGTTTCGATGTGGTTACCAGATTGACGATTCCTTTCATTGCCGATTTTATCGGCTGGCAAAATCGGACTTTTTTCTTGGTCGGTATTTGCGGAATGGCAGTAGGACGTATTGGTAAGGAATTAATAGAGTTATTTGTTCGAGAATATTTCCTGCCTTTCAGATCTTATTATAGAATAAATATTAAACTACAGGAAATGATAAGATTGAGTATGTTTGCTCATTTCGAAGTTCATTTTATCTGTTTGGTACATGTGCGTCATATTAAAGGCACTAATATTGTTGGCAACATGTGATACTAAGGAGTCCTTCAGTTACATTAATCGATAACATTCTATACATGTATATTTTCATATATGATACGAGTCATTTTGTTTTTAAGATATTTAACTGATAAATCTTTCAGTATTTTTGACATGTAACTTTAATACATTACGCTGTAGTATTTATATCTTGTGAAACATTTTCACTTGAATCAAAAGGAAATTTAGAATGAGATTTATGATCAATTTTTCCATTGTTTAATGATTTACAAAATCGAGTAGAAGCAATTAACATTATAGAGAATGTTTCTTCGATATATCTTATTTTTACTGTACTTATTTCATATAGTTTGGTTATTATATAGAGATATAACAATACTATGATTAACTTATGGTTAATTATATTTATAATAATTTCAACTTATATTGTTATAAATATTAGTAACTTATATTAACACTAGAACTACGAAATGGGTCAAAATGACTTGTTCCAATTATTTTATTTTTGTAATTACTAAAAACCTGCAGCTAACTTTGAAAAAAGTACCTTTGATTTTATTTTTTAAGTAGAAATGTTATTATATATCTATTTATGTTGATAGTTCTAGTGTTAACAGATTAAAATCACTCGTTTCTATTTCACCTAAAAATTCCAACCAAGACCAGGGATTTAGAATGAACTTTAAATCAAATTTTCATTGCTTATCAATGCAAAAAGTCGAATAGAAACAACGTGACATAATTAAAAATTACTTCTTTAACCATTTGTGCTCTCAGAATTTTTTACTTCGGTCGACAAATAATTCCAACATACTTCTGCAGTGGATAACTTTTCAAAATAAGTAATTTTGAATGAAAGAAAATAAAGAACAACAATTTCGAAATAAAAAAGTTGCAAATAGTAATTTAAAAAAAAAAGTTATTTTTGAATTTATTTTTATAGTACTCATCTTTTTATCTCAACGTGTAAATAACAAAATAACACGCTGCAGATTCATTATCACACATAAATGCAATTAATTATAATAATAATAATAAATACAACAAATTATAATTTGTATAATTTACGTTTTTTTTTTTTTTCCTAGTGTTAGCACACGTGCAAGATTTTAGCGTTACCTTGGCAATTGCTATTCTGATAGGAGCTGGCAAAGCATTGCGAACTATCTTTATGGCTCTTGTAATTCCGACCCATGTTCCACTGTCAAGGCTTCCAGGTGCTACAGGTATACAACTCTTAACCAGCGGTATCGTTGCATTGGCCTTAGGGCCGTTAGTTGGTTGGATTAGAGATACAACTTCTGATTACGCAGTCATGCTACACTGTTTAAATATTTTTACATACCTGACGGTAATTTCATGGACGATTGAAATCTGCTTTATGAAATGGAAGTCAAAGAAAATTGCACAAGAGAAAGAGGTGTCGAATAATATATGTGCTTAAGCTTGTATATAATAACAATATACATTATAAGTCTTTTAAACTGACGAGCAAGTAAAGAAACATGTATTTTATATTTATTTGTAATAAAAATGTTGTTTATAATCGTACATATGCAGTATTGTTTACTTACATTGGTAAACGAAATTATAATTTATAATGTACAATGCAACTTATAAACATTAACTAATAAATGAATATTAACTTCTAACGTCGAATGTAACTTACAAATATTAATTTTTGAATAAACATTAATTTACGATTGTGAAAATATTTTATAAATATTAATTTTTAAATAAACGTTAATTTACTATTGTGAAAATATTTTATAAATATTAATTTTTAAATAAACGTTAATTTACGATTATGAAAATATTTTATAAACATTAATTCGTAAATAGGTGAAATAAATATTAGTCAATAATTTAATTATTACAGTTTTTAATTTTTAATTTTAATTTCTCCTCTAATCTGTAATATTCATTGGGCAATTAATGTAAAATTTACCTTCCAAAAAATTGCTCTATCACCTACAGTTTTTAAAAAATTTTTGAGTTTCTCTAAAAAAGCATGATTTTTGGATAAAATGAAGTATTACATAAAAAGTAAGTATGTTAGGAGGTTCATTGTTGTCTTACAAGTTAGGTAAGAGTATCCCAAGTTTTTTTATCAATGTCCATAATTACTACTATTTATGCTTCCGAGTAACTATAATTCGTTATCAAAGTTTTAAAATATGTCTCTGAGCGTACTTTCTATGCATATTCTTGCAGTTTTACAAAAAGTTCCTTATCTGACATGAATTTACTGCATAGTAGAGTATTCTGTAGGCTTTTCTGAAGAAGAGACCATCCAAGAACAATATTAGGATGATGTTCAATACTGACAGGACGGTAAAGAATATATCGGGAACTCGAAAACGGAAAGCCATTGCCCGCACATCTAGTTATGCACATATACTTATATATTTTCATATACTCTTTTATACTAATCGCAAAATTATAAGGAATTTCTCTAAATCACTTGTAATTTGAAACAGTTTCGTTATTAGATACATAGATACGATTGACTTTTTAATAAAAAGTAGCTAAAAAGTAAACTTCCACCCAACTTTTAAGATGAGAATGAATTTCCTAACGCTTTTTCTTTTTGTGTAACGCTTCATTTTGGTAAAAGATATAACGGAAATAAAAATATTTTGACATACATATACTATGTATCATAGAAATTTATCCTATGAAAGTGCGAATGCAGTTTTAGTTTATAAAACATATATAAATTATCAAATATATTATTAATAAGAAATTGCGCACAACGTAAATCTATAATAAAAGTAAAAAAATTAATAAATTAGTGGCTATTACTTGAACTTATAACCTACTTATGTTAGAAAGTATCTGTAATTTGCAAAAAATTAATTGATTATTATATTGATTGGTAATAACAAATTAATATTGTTAATAACAAATTATTTACAGCGTAAATTTATAATAAGAGTGAAAAATTTTATAAATTACAGATTATTACTTGAGCTTAGAACGTATTAATCCCAAAATGTACAAAAATTTGCAGAAAGTTTATCAATTATTACACTGATTGTTAATAACAAATTAATATTGTTAATAACAAATTGTACACAATGTGAATTTATTATGCAAGTGAAAAAATTAATAAATTATTGGCTATTAGAGCGAAAAAGTAATAATTAATATAATCGGTAAATTGCCGAAATTTTCGAACGGGGCAGAGGACTTGGCCGATCGACGGCTATATAAGGAGCAAAGCGACCGAGTAAAACTCATTTGTCAGTTTGACTTGGCGAGTACAACATTTAAGTTTTCTCGTACGCGAAGGGGTGAGGGGTTCGAACTGAGGTTGGGACTGGCTACCCCAACCACACCTCATTAAACAATTTAATAATAATTTTTCTTTCCAGGACCAATTTTTTTTCTTTTCAGATTTCAATTATTTTTTGTTTCTTTCAGATTTCTTTTTCGTTTCTATAGAATTTTATTTGATAATTCGGATATTTCGTATAATACTCGAATGTTTCGTCGATGGTTTATTTAAGTCTCATTGTTGGGTGGTTTATATCTCATCGTTAGGTTGTTTATGTCTCATTGTTGGGTTCTTAATAATTACTTTCTTTTCAGGTCTTAATACTTTTTTATTTTCAGTATTTAATTATTTATCTTTTCTCAGATTTTATTTTTTCCTTTCTTTTGATCTTTACTTGAGAATTCGAATATTTCGTATAATATTCGAATGTTTCGTCGTTGGATTGTTCGTATCTTATAGTTGGTTTGTTTCTTTCTTATCGATGCGTTGTTCCTTCCACTTGCTTAACCTTTATAGTTTCTATTCGTTCGTTTTCTTTCCTCCTACTAATCCGTTTCCTTTCAGGTTGATATTAACCATAATATATTCTGTTGTAGCTTTCAGGTTTCTCAAGATTCTCAAGTTTCCTCAAGATTTCATTTGCGACACATCAATGGACAACGCGGGATGCATGCGTTTAAACCTAAGTAGTTATAAGCAGTTATAAGATAGATGCCTAGGCTAAGTTTCATGTGCGCGCTTTTCGTACAAAGGTAAACTACCTAACTTGGAGCGAAATATATCAATTCTCTATTGTCCTCTTATCCCCCTCGTATACCAAACAGAACATAAATGTTCTCGCGATAATCGCGATTGTTCTTAAGTACCGACTAGCCTACGCGACGTGCTCTCGTGTACTCGATAAGTACATACTTCATCAGCCATCCTCACGACTCGTCTCCAACACTCATTTCCAGTCACTGTCAATCTCGTCATGCATCGGGTTCCAGGGTGACCCCCTCGAATCAGTGCGTCTTCTGACCTCGACCGGGCGGTCCGCTGCCTAAGTCGTACGCGACTTGGGCTCGGGCACATGCTGGCTGACGGACTAGTACCATCTACGGTTAGACCACAGGGATGATTAAGTTCTACCCCGTGTGGCTGGGATGCGAAGTGTCTGTCTTGGCCGGCAACCGCCCAGCAGGGCCCTCGCGTTGACACTAGAAGTTTCATTGGTTCAGGGACTATCCTTGGTCCACGTGTAAGTCTTGGCGAGTGCGACAGTGACTGGAATTGAGCTAGGCCCGATCGGGAGGGTGCCGAGGTATGAAGTTATCTCTGTACACGGGAGTACATCGCCTAGGCTAGTCGGTCTTTCGAATAATCGCGAACTCGTTCGGGCGCGTCGCGATTTTCTATTAGCTCGCGTGTTTGATATTTCATTCCCTATTTTTATGGGAACTTGAAAATATCTTAGCGTTGCGACAGTAGAGTTTCAGTATACCGAACCGAAACCCCTTTTGTAAGACACGAAATATAATAAAGTGTCAGTAGAGTCATTTTAACTTAATTCGCTCCAAGTTAGATTAGGCTACCTTTGATACAGGTAGTGCCAGCAGGCTGCGCCACTAGGGCACATGTCGGGTCTCAATGCGTAGCCACCTCCACGTGGTGAGACCTGGTAATTGGTATCGCTTTCCTTTGGGAAACGGTATCAAGTTAAGAGCTACGCACAAAGTATAACATATGTCCTATCTCTTGCGAATTTTCACTGTTCCCTTTGGAATTTGAAAATAGAGAGTGGGCAATATCTGTTTAAAGGATATTTAAATGAAGAGGAATTAAGATAACAAGGAGAGTGTAAGTGCATCGGGTCACCGATTTAGTTGATACTCTGCAGGTTTGTAGATATCACCACGCAGATTTAGAAAATATATCATTGTAGCGGCAGCTACTCAATAGTTTTTGAGATATTTACGATTAAAGTTTCATTACTTTTGTAATTACAGATTTATTTCCATCATTTTGCAAGCGCAGTCGTGGCCTAAAAACGATAGATTAATATTCCTGTGGTAATGGACCGTGGCTCGATTCTCGTCCCATAGTTGGTAGCTTTTTAATCTATTTTTAATTGTGTTCATTTTTCATCTATGAAAAAATTGTAAATAAAATTTCGTAATAAAATTATTGATTTTTTACGCTTTCTTATGCTAGTGTATAATTATTACAAAACAATAAAAATATTATGCAAGAAAAATACTTTTCTATAACAATATTATTTACTACAGGTAATACGAAACCTATCGCTCATGTAAGTATTAATTATTAAATTAAACATCCTATAAGAATGTTGCCTATAATTCTAACTTTGCTGGGCAGCTATAAATATTCATGAATTAATTAGAAAAGCTTGAAAATTTATTAATTTTCTACTGTCCAATTGATGTCTAGTATCCAGTTCGAATACAAATATTACCACCTGCGATCAGCGCCATCTATGATTTTGGAATATTTTCTCAAATAGTTTACTAACTCTGGTTACGTGCACCTAATATATTTTAATTTATTTTAATAAATAAATTCATAAAGTTTTCTACATTCTTTAATAAATTCAGCCCAAACAGCGGTTTTAATTAGACAATCAGCATTCATTTCATTACCTGGCAGACGACAAATATGGAAAGGTACGCCTTTACAACGCAATTATAAAACTTCATAAATTCAACACAGAAATTGAGCGATTTGTTAATTTTTCTCCAAGTGAACAGGAGAGTGCATGGGAAACGGGAAAAAATTACAAACAAACGCCGGAAGCATTGTTGTGTCCATGCAGGTGTGCCTGCATCACGAAAAGAATGTAAGTATTTGTAGTAACATAACCTTTGGTTATAATTAAATAGTGTAAGTTAGAAAAGACAATATTCTGTTGAAATAAACAGTCACGTGCAAAAATAGAAAAATATTGGACTCATGGAATATCATCAGCATAGATGCCAAGAATTATGCTTTATAGCGAGAAAAAATTGAAGCAGCAATATAAATATGAAAAGTATGATATGTCTATTGCATTCTAGGTCGGTTAACCATATGACATACAAGATAGAAATCCTTGATGGTCAAATAAAGATTCAGAAAATGCAGATGGTATAGGTAGACAAAAAAAAAATACAATTAATTTAGGTGATGGCCTCTTATAACAACAAGATATGGAGAATACAGTGAGATTG